GGATGGGGTGCCAAAAGATTTAGGACGTGTTGTGTACATTTCCAACTCCACGCACGGAAGGTAAACATGTATGGCAAACATGTACTAATATTAAATAAATAAATAAATAAATAAATAGAAAGAAAGAAATTTGGTGTCCCGATCTCTAGAAATAGAGACTGAAATAACAGCTGATTTCGCACAATATTTCTGTTCTCCTATAGTAGATTTTGGAAGTCAGCCATCCAACACTGGCATGGCAGCTTCCCTCTCAGTGAGGATACAGAAGTGACTTCCATCTCCAACCTTTCTTTGTGATCTAAAGTGGATGCTGATTTTCAGGCTTAAAACATACAAAACAGAAAAAAACAACACAGGGTCCATGCTATCTGCCTGTTCCCTCTTACAGAGTCTTCCAAGAAGTCCTAACAACTTTCTCCTACATTTCTTTAGCAATTTCTAGCCAACAAAGACACAAGGAAATGTCATTACTCAGCTGGTTCTGCTGTCACAGGTGGGGAACAGAATGGGGGAATGGATACTGAATAGCAGCTTACAGATATAATTTAATTTTTACAAAGAAAACAAGGTAAAATGTGTGTAGGTAAATGAAATAAAATTCAAATACCCTATTCTGTCTCTCATGGTAGACTGCAAATTTTAAAAAGCAGGATCTATTTCTTGGTACTTGATAATTTTAACCAAACATCTAGTCAGATGTCTGCTATTCAGTAAGTAATCAATAGTATCTGTTAAATGAGTGAATACAATAATTAACAAAAAATGGAAAGTGTAAGGGAGCATACATGGTCTTTCACGACACAGCATCATTTAAAATGTACTTAATGTTTGAATGTAGTGTGACAGTTGTTAGTGCTGTTTACTGAAGCTCATATTGGGGTACATTGTAGGATTGCATATATAGTATTCCTTGTATTTTGCCAAAGTAACGTGATTGGGCCAATTAATGTTAGCAAAAACTGACACGGATATTTTCTGGGCCCAAAGATATAATTGCTACTATGAGATCTACCAAGGCTCTCATTCCTGCAGCCAGAGCAGCTGAAAACATAACCACTGGTGGAACTCCATCCGGCAAAGCTGACTGTATTAGCCATTTTTCCCTTCACTGAGACACAATACCCAACATCCACAATTTAAAGGAGGAAAGGATTAATTTAGCTCATGGTATCAGGTGATTCTATACTAGATCAGTAAACTCCAAAGAAGAAACCCCATGGCAGAAGGGCATAGCATAGCAAAGCTGCTCAGTTTATGGCCACTGGAAATTGAGCAGGGGACAGCAGCAGAGCAGAACCAGCACAAGACCATAGGGAGTACTGGAGTCCATGCCACCATGACCACCCAGACACACCCAGTGCATACTCTACTAATGTACTGGGCATTTTTTAATGCAATGAAGCTGACAAATCAGAAATGACAGACACAATTCACTCCTCCAACTTCACAGCCAAAAACATCCCCTTAAATCACACGTAATCTTCAAATGAAAACAGCAAGTCCATAATTCTGTCTAACATAATACAACTATCCCACATGGAACCAGAAACACAACAATTCCTATTCCAAAGTCTCAGTAGTTCCAATACTTCTCAAAAATCCAAGCCCAAGTCTTCTGTGAAACTCAAAGCAGACTCTTAGCTGTGAATCACTGTTAAAACAAAACCAAAAAGAAAAACAACTAAATAATCCCAAGATACAATGGTGAAGCTAAATATTCTCATTGCAAAGGGAGGGATTGGGAGATATGAAAGAATCAGAACAAAGTAAGCCCCCAAACCAGCAGGGCAAGCATTAAATCCTGCAGTTATCCATATCAAGCATCCAGGACACATGGTGACAATATGTGAGTTCCAAAGGACATGGACAGCCTCACCCCTGTGGCCTTCTCAGTTGCAGCCCACAAGGTCTCTCTCTTGGGCTAGCTCCACTCATGGTCTACAGCTTTCCTGGGCAGGTGCTCCAGAGTCTTGGCATCTCCAGCTCCCTGTGGTCTCCACTATACCTTCAGCTTCATTCTCACACCTTCATGCATTGTCCTCTCAAAGACTCCTTGCCTGGCCTTTAAAGACTTCCTCTGAAGTCTAGGTGGGAGCCTTCTTGACCCCCCACAACACTTGCATTCTGCTCTCAGAAGAAGCAGTAGCCAGACCCCCTTGGACATGGTTTTAGTGGCCTCTAGTGCTTGGATAGCTAAGCTTGGTGAAAAGAATCCTGGGAAACTGATTCCCTAAAAGGCCCTTCTTGAGCAGGACTTCCATGGACTCTTCCCAAATGAAAGTTTGATTCTTTTGCACCATATTATAATGCCCCAGGCCATGACTCCATGTCCAACCCAGACACACCCAGGTACATTCGTCACTAATCTGCTAGGTGTTTCCCAATGAATATGACAGTGACATATGTAACTGACCTGCAGTGGATGTGTGGTATAGACAAGATCATACATCTTGGATTCACAGATTTGCTTTCCCTAACACAAAAATGTCAACTATTTTTATGCAGTCAACTGAAGAAACATTTTATTTGTTGTGAAACACACAAATTTATGTTTGGATCCACAACAACTCTGACTTCTGAAACACTCAAGTTAGTCAATTTTAAACAATTAATTTAAAAATAATCAGTTAATAATTAACTACCATAATAAACAAATCCAACATGAACAACGAATAGAGTAAATTACATTAAAGAAGCCTTTTTTTCTAAAATTTTAAAAGACCAGGAAAAATTTTTAAATTAGTTTCATTAGAATTAAATAATAGCATTATAACACTAGTATAATTTAAAAGGCCTTTTTATTCTTTTTGCTACACATATAAAGTAATCATGTGTAATACATATTTGCAGTATAAATATTAAAGGATACCATATGGAAGTATGAGTGCATTAAAGAGATAAATATCCCACTGTTCTACCTTTAAAGTACACTAATCTGGCTGACCAGTACTTTTTCTCTCACTTTCTGAATCTGTAAGTAGGTATGAATTTTAAAAATTGATTTGCATATACCTTTTACCCTGAAATTTTGTAGACCATAAAAATTAAAAGTAACTTGGTTAATACTGACCAGTTTTATCTTTCATAAACAGTACAAACCCTGTATTTTGAAAATCTCAAGAAATTGTTATAAGACATTATTTTGCCTTTTCCAAAAAGAATAGTTTTTGTTGCTTTTTAACCATTTTCCCTTAACATTCGATTTCATGGTTATTACATTCTATGACTTGAATCCCCTTTATGGTAATATATCTAAATGGACACTTAAGGCATGGTTGATCTTTTTTGAGAAAGCTTATTATTTTCCATGAGAATGAAAAAAGATGTTACCTTGAACCATAATGCTTTAGACGGTTAATGGATAAATTAACTATCCAGGCAAGATGAGTAAATGTAAATTAGACATCTCTTTCCTTGTAACCTCATCTTATAACCCCTTTATATAGAGAGTTATCTGAATGCTATTTGAAGCTAAACTTATAAAAGCTCTGAAATCTGGGGTTTTTATCTTATTTTTACTCTCAAGTTTATTTCTAAATGTATAATAATTTGAGAGTTCAACCAACCTTATTACTTTAATATAAAAAGAAAAATCTGGGAGAGTTCAGTGGAGTAATGTAGCTAAAAACTGGATGACTCTGTGAAACTTAAAATGTTACTGGGGTCATAGGATTAAAAGACAAGTATTTACCAAATATTTCAGCTTGTTTATGATTTTATTTGTGTTTTACCCTACAGCTCCGTGTTTTTACATCATGTTGGTTACACTGCAAAACTTCTTAATGATGTCAGGAAATACAAGAACTCAACATTTCTAGATGAGCCCACTGACAATTCCCAGTACCCAGGTATACAAACCTCCTTTACATTCTTTAAGAGCAGCCTTTCCTAATAGAACATGAGGATGCAGTTTCCATAAGGTATTTGAGTCATCACCATTCTAAGGCACACAACATGGCTTGGCAAAGGCTCCTAAATGTCTCCTCAGACACTACAAGCAGCAAGAGTGTCTGGCCCAGACATCAGATGCCCAACTGCACCATTACATGATTGCCCATATGGCATATGTTTGACTCACCATGGAGCAGCAGCTGAGTCCTGCTCCCTCCAGGATTTTCCAGCTGGGGGACAGTACCACATTCTTCCAAGGCAGTGGTTTCCTTTAGGCCACCAGAGAGTCAAAAGAGTTTGGATCGTTCACGGCTCATTGGATGCATGTGGTCACCATGCCAGTGCATGCTGTGAGGAGAGGTTGTGAGGGGCCCAGCTTGGTATTTCCCCCCAGGCTTGTTCCTTGTTGTCCTCTAAGGCTACCAATTCCCACAGCACAGCTTGCACACTGCTGCTTACTTTGACTTTGCCTTTATTTTCTGATGACAAAACATTCAGCTTCCCACAACTAATAGGAGTTGACTTGCCTCTCTTGATCTTAGATAATTCAAACCCATTTCCTTCCTTACCTTCTTTAAGGAGGCTTAATGGAATTTTGAATTTTTCCTATTACAAGAATTCTTCAGGTTTTTGTCCAAAGAGATTTGAAATGCCACATAAAATGATGTACTCACATTCCTCACTACCACTTCCAAATAACTGAATTACATAAATAAAACATTACATAAAAAGTGCTTTGCTACAATTTATGAGAGGTAAATTTAACAAGAACTGGCTCCTTGTAGGAAAATTCAACTTATCTTTTCCTGATCCTTTTATTCTATACAGAGAGAGAAATTTATGTCAGTTAAAAAAATCTATTACTGCTTCTCATAACAGAATCCATTATTTTTTCCATGATCCATCAGAGTAAAAACAAGAACAATAGATTGCTTTGACAGAACCTTGAACAAAAATGTTCCCAAGAATCAAACACAGCAAGTTAAATGAATTTCAGGTAGTATTCAAACAGGAAAGGATAACCTTCTTTTTATATTTCAAATCTGGACATTCCTAAAACATTTATTATTATTAGCTACTCCAAAAAGACAAATATATAGTAGTTTAATTTTTACAATGAAATGGAAATAGTTTCATTTATTTCTATATATATCCAAGTAGAACTGAACCTAAAGAAATGAACTCAGGAAAAGGAATTTTTTTTACCAACTGCTTATTTATAATCTATGCCTTGATTGCATTATACACAATGACTTTACATACATAACTGAAGATATCCTATACCCAGTCAACTTATTAAACATATTAATGTTAACTTTATCTCACAAATATGTTCACTTCTGTAAGTGGTTCCATAATTTTTAGTTCTACGTAACCCATTTTAGACTAAGGTCTTCAGAAAACTTGGAATGTTTATGTACACACCTACCTGCCTAAGATACACAGGAAGAAAGTGGGAGGAGAAGAAAGAAGAGATGAAGGTAGAGTCATGTATTTAACATTAATTCTAATAACTAATTCATCTCGGGTGATTTTCTTAATGCATACCTGTCAGAATCTAATGGCTAATTGCATGCAGATAAACCCATCTATCAACTTGTCTCTGGGGAAGGTAAGTGTAATTATTAATCTTAATTGTCACTTTGATTGGCTTGGAGCTGTGCAGGAGATTAGTAATGTATATGCTTGGGTGTGTCTGCGTGGATCATGGAGCCAGGACCTTGGGGTCTATATCTGGTCCTGGCCCCTCCCTCTCTGGGGCTGTTCCTCTTTTTCTGCTTCCTGACTGCCATGAATTAATAAGCTTTGTTTCACCATGCCCTGCTTGCATGATGCTCCTGCCTTGGAGCCAGCCAACAAATGGACTGAATCCTCTGAAACTGTGGGTCAAATAAACTTCCCCACCTTTAAGTGGTCAAATATTTTTTTCAGCAATGGGAAATGTGACCAATAGAGAGAATTGGTAGCAAAAGTGGTGTTGTTACTGTGATATATGACACTGTGTAGTTCAGAAACCTTTGGAACTGGTTTGCAGGAGCATTTGGAAAGGTTTGGAGATGTAGGATAGAGAAGCCCTAGCATACTATGAGCAGAGCCTGATGGATTGTTTTGGTTAGAGCATAGATTACCAAAATGCTAATAAAAATCCAGACAGTAAAGACCAGGACTCTATTGGAAATTTGACTGGAAGCCATGCATGCTACATTTTGGCAAAAACACTTATCTTCATTTTCCTCATGACCTGAGACTTTGCAGGAGGGTATGTATGGGCTATGGAATGATTCATATAAGAGGAAAGCAGTCCAACATTCAGACTGTGGCATGGGTACTACTGGTTGCTTTTAGCCAGATTTATATTGAGAACTAGGAGCAAAAAGCAGAACAGAAATAATTGAAAAAGTTAGATTTTGGCCCAAAGGGAACCACATGTAAATTTGGGGCTGAAGGAAGTGTGTTTGTTGAAGATATTAATGACATTAAAAAGAAATAAAGTACTTTGAACCGAGATGAGGAGAGCGATGCATCCATCATAGGATCAAAAGTGCAAAAGTATAACTCTTTCATTTGAGAAGAGTCTCTGGGACTTCATCTCAAGAAAAGCCTCCTAGGGGAATGGTTTCCTAGGATTCACATCACTGTACTCAGCCATTCAGACACACAAAGGCTGCAACAACCATAGTCCAAGCGGGCCTGGCTACTGCTTGCACTGGTGGTAAACTTTTGCTTTGTTCATGTGATGCTACTTTTACTGGCACATGGAATGCAAGTGTTGTGGGATCATGAAGGCTTTCACCCAGATTCCAAGGGAAGGCCTATGAGGCCAGGTAACCTGCCCAAGAGGAAGGTACTTAAAGATGTGGGAATGAAGCCAAGGGTACAATGGGAACCCGAGGAAGTTGAAAATTCCAAGAACATAAAATGTCTTCAGAGGAAAGCCATAGGTGATGACCACTGCAGCCCAAGAGAGAGGTTATATGAGCTCCAACCAACAAGGCCAATCCAAGGACTCTGGAACTCATCTCTTACCTCTGATGCCCCAGATGCTGGACATGAGGCTACAGAACCTAACACTGCCCTTGCTTTTATCCTGTTCTTTTCTACCTCCCAATTTCTCCCTTTGGGGATGGGAATATTCTCCCTGGAAGAGTGTACATGGGAGTTAAGTAACTTGCTCTGTCATTGTTACCAGTATTCACAGCTAAGGGTTTTCCTTGAGTCTCAGAAGAAACCTTGGAGTTGCATTATTGAGCAATGGTGACACTTTTGAGACTTTGGGGGAGGAATTAGTATGTTTTCAGGTATACACAGGATAGTTACATCACATTAGGAAGAATTATGATCTTGCTATTATCTGTATTAGGAAATTATGATGTATTCTGGGAAATTAAGATGTATTTGGGAGCCAAGGTGACAAACAGCAGAATATAATAGCTAAATTTAGTTGTCAACTTTACTTGCTTGGGACTATCTAGGGCATTAGGAAGGCACATTTCTGCAAGAGTCTGGGTGAGTCACAGAGGTGTGACCTGCAGTCTATATCTGGTCCCCAGCCCTTTCCTCTCTCATGCTGTTTTCCTGCTGTGATTCCAGACCACCATGATCTAATCAGCTTTTCTCTGTCATATTCTTCCACTGTGATGTTTCTACCTTGGCCACAGGCAACCAATAGACTGAATCTTCTGAAACCAAGAGCCAAGTAAAACCGCTCCTTCTTTAAGTTGTGGGTGTCAGGTATTGTTTCTAGCAGTAGGAAATCTGACCAGTGCAGTAACATTCCCAGTTTCAGTGGCAGACCTCCTAAGCCAATTAGCACCAAGCATTCACATTATGGTATTACTGATCCAGAGCTGGGCATGTAACTCAAAGGTTACCTGAACAAAAGAAATGAGTGTGACTTTCATGCAAGCTTGCAATAGAGGTTTCCCATTTCTCCTGCTGGATGAGCAAAAGAGAACAAGGGGTCCCAGTTGCCACTGGCAGCCTGTGTGACCATGAAAATGAGAACAATGCTAATGCCACAGGCAATGGTTAGGGACGACTTGAGTCTTGGCTGACATCACTGAGCTAAAAATGGTATTGTGTCTCAAGCCCTTCCTACCTTCTGTCTTACAGTTAATAGAGTTTGTAAACTGTAATCCCAGTTACTTGGGAGGCAGAGGCAGGAGGATCACAAATTTGAGACCAATTTGGGCAACATAACTAGACCCATCTTAGAAAAAAAAAGACAGGAAAGAGTTTACAGATGTGTTGTCTTTCCCATTATAAATGAGGGTGCTGTTCACATGTGCTCTTCTCTTTTAAAGAAAGATGAGAGAATATACTCAAAATAACATGTTTTCTCATGACTTGTTTCAGTCATATTTCTAATGCATCAAAAGATCTTTCATATATTTTTGACTTTGAACCCACCCTGGAGAAGTATTGCTAGCCATCTAACAAAGCAGAGAATTTGAGATATCCATTGTTTAAGATGGCAGTAACATTATTACCAAGGGTAATGTAAATTTAAGATAATGAAGACCTTCTTGTCCTACTAGTCCAAAAAAATACAATTTTATACCCAAGTTAGTCATTACTCCTAGCCTCTAGATCTGAAACAGAGCTAGATCAGCTTTCTAGTTAATTTAAAACTGGCATATATGCCAAAGGTATATTTTTTTAATTACACAGAAGGCCATAACAATCCTATCATTCTGTTCTTATTTTCCTAAACTACTTTAGGAACTTATTTCTCAGACTTTGTAGTATATTAGGTATTTCTTGCATATTTCTGTACGTAATTCATCAGCTTTGCAACCTGATTCTTAAAATTAACAGATTAAAACTAATGTAGATGATTCTCAGATGACACATACTGAGGTATAGAAAAATTCCATCATTTCCTCCTACAAAATGAAAAAGATTTTAATTCTTTTTCTCAACAGCTGCTTCATGTTTTTTATACATCAGAAAAATATGTGCAATTACTTCAAGTACAATCAAGTCATTTACCATGGCTTTGCCATCATTGTAGTTACAGGATATTTTAAAAAACAAAAAAAACTTCTCAAAGCACAGGTCCTGCTGTGCAGCAAAGCAATCAGTTTCTTCATAATAACAGCCTGATGGGATTCAGCAATCCAAGGAATAATGAATAACCAACCTAATCAGTAAACAGGAAAATGCTATACCCGTCACTGAGTAAAAACTATCATCTGTTCATTCTTTTGATCAGCTTTCAAAACAATAAATAGAAATGTAAGTATCTCTTAAAAAGAAAAATAACTTCATTTAGTGTGTGTGATTTTACCATGCAGTGAGAAAAATTATACATCATCTTGAACTGTACTGCAGTATTTCCCCATCAATGAAATTCACATATAGCATTATTTTAATAATCCATGACCAAATTTACCCTATCCCTTGAATATGTCAAGATGAACTGACTTTTGCAGTTGGTATTGATTGTATTTCTGGACTGATTATTCCATTTTTAGTTTCTTCAGTATTCATCTTATGAAGTTATTTGTTTCTGAATATGATGAGTCTGTCTCAAAATAGTCCTCAAGTTTCAAATGTAGTTTCTCAAATGTGGGCCGTTCCGTAGGCTCCGCATTCCAGCACTCCAACATGATGCTGTAGAACTGCTCAGGACAGTTAGGTGGTTGTGGGAGTCTATAGTTTTGACTCAACATCTGGATTACTTCAGCACCTGTTCTGCCTAAAAATATAGAATGGAACCAACATAATGAAAGAGGAAGATCCAAGTCTTCAGTTCATAGATACTTGTACCCCAGGTTACAAAACAAATTCTTTTCCTTGGTGAAGCTATGAGATCTATCATCCTTTCCAGGGACTAAACAAAATCCTGCAGCAAGTAATATCTGTAAGACTACAATTCAAGAGAAAAGGAGAGGGAAGCAATAAAGCACCTCATTAATGCAAATTAACTTCATCTAATTTTATCTATCAAGCTCCCACAGGTACCTGGTACAGCCAGCCTCATCGGTCTGCCCTCTAAGTCTGGGCAACACACTTAAAGTCATGCCTAAGTAAGTGGCCTGCAGCAGAAAGGCCCTCTTCAGAACCAATTACTCACCAGTATAAGGCATTTTGCCATAAGTAATGATTTCGTAAAGAAGAATTCCAAATGACCACACATCGGACTTAATGCTAAATTTATTAGTACGAATGGCTTCAGGTGCAGTCCACTTCACTGGCAGCTTTATTTCATGTTTCGATTCATAGATGTCTTCATTATCTACCTGTTAATGCATTAAGGATTCAAGCCAAGTTAAACCAATTATTTTTTTGCTGTCTTCATTCTTTTACAGCCAGTTTCACATTAAAATTTAGAGGGGAAATATTTAAAATGAGCTTAGATCAATTGATAATAATTGACAATTACAGTAGCAAATTCTGAATCTGACATATAAGACTAAAAATTCTGTGGGAGGTCATTAAGAAAATATGACCTGAGTCCCTACTATGTGTTGAGAACAGCACTGGAAGGAGCATTTTATTATGTATAAGGAAATTCATACACGACTCTTGCTTTATGTCTGATCCTTAGCATATTTTTTTTAAATGAAGACAAAGCTTATCTGTTTTTTTGACTTACTGAGGGTACTGAAGAGTCCCCAGCTTTGATAGTTACCAGTTCCCACTTGCTAATGCTGAAAAGTGGAATCTGAACTAGTTAATGTATCACCTCACTGTTCTAATTAATTTACAAAAAGAAAAGATGATGACTCATGAGGACCAGAAAAAGATCCCCTGTTATGTTTCAAGCCCCACATTCTTATTTTTAGAGTACAACATGGTAACTTAAAGTTAACTTCAGAGATAAATACCTCATATTATGTCTTTATGTCAATATCTTTTGGATTGATGTCACAAAATGGGGTGGGCAGGGGAACTGCAAAGCCAATGATGGCTGTAGAATTCTGCAACGTGTAGCTTAGTCTGACAGATTGTGAGCAAAGTCATTAAGGTCACCATCCAAAAGCATGAGGTCTCACGTGAAGGCAGGGAGGGTAACCCTATGTAGCTGTCATAAGGGAAACAGAAGCAAACAAATAGAGGCCACGAGTACTAAATGAAAAGAGGAGCATAAACTCAATCACAAATTTAATGACATACATTTCAATCTAGCTGATCATTGTTTTCTCTAGGATTATTCCTCCTCCATGAAGAAACAGAAGCAGGAAGGTAGCTGGTCTGTAAGGTCTTGGGCTACTGGAAATGGTCCATGAACCACAAAATGTGAAGAAATATGTTTTAAAGAATAATATCGAATTTCCTGGTCTATGTATCTGTTGAGATTTTAACCTATTGTTAAAACTAATTAAATTTACCTTAAAGACTCTTGCAAGTCCAAAGTCTGCTACTTTGTAGATATTGTGTTCACCAACAAGAACATTTCTGGCAGCCAGGTCCCTGTGGATATAGTTCTGGGACTCCAGGTAGGCCATTCCAGAAGCCACCTGTGCTGCCATGTCCACTTGTTGAGTCAGGTAGATTTTTGACCCAGCATCAACTAAGGAATAAAAGAAAATAAGAGATATATTTTGGAAAATATTTTAACAACTGAAATTAATTCTGAGAATTTTGATTAATCCACTGTTGATGGAATTGTCAGCCAAGGCACTGATCATCTGAGAAAGGAGCAGAGGTATCATATAAACCAAACATGGTTATGATTATCAGAAAGAGTCCAATTATTACTGTTCTTCGAAAGTAAATTTCACAGACTCATTTCTTCATGGAATTTGTTACTTCAGTGCTTCTGGATTTCTCTTAAACACTGCATAGTTTGTTTTAATCATCAAGCCAAAGAGTCACCCTAATTTGCATGACTGAACTAATGAAAAGTTCTTGTTTCTTCCTCAGGGTTTTTCTTTCAAACCTCCTTACTAAGAAAAATTAAACTTGCATAAGTAGTTATGAAATGTGTATACTGCATTTGTACAACCAAGCTTAATACAAATTTTTAAACATCCTTTTCTTAGCCTATTATTCTTACAACAGTTTCTACATCTCTTCAATGCAGACATACCTTTAATTGGCAGCATTTCACTGCTCATCCTGCAGAACTAAGAAAAAAATTGATGTGATAAGAACACTTTGAATTATTAGCAAAAATGGAGAATGCTATTTTATGAAAACTTTCTGAAATGGGGTACATATGTCATCCCTGGGTAGTATCCTCAGATTTCTGGGGAATTAAAAAAGCATTACATAAGCCCATACTATTATCATCCCTGTCTGAATAACTCACATAATACTACATAGATGCCACTGAACTTATGGTCATGAAGCATAGACACAAGCCTTAACTTGAAGGGCAGCTATAGTACAGAGTTAAGAAGACTGATTTGGAACTGGTGTCAGACTTGAGATCAAAATTACGCCTCATATTCTATGTGACCTTGCTCAAACTGCTTACCACACCTGTATCTTAGTTCCTTACCTGTCTAGTTATAATAGTAACCACCTTATAGTCCTAGGTGCTAAAATGAAGGTCAAAATATATTAATATATGTTGAGCACTTAGAACAGTATCTGCTACCAAGAAGAACTCAGTATATCCTAGCCATTAATATCATCATTGCTTCTATAATAGTCTTGATTGTCAACTCCAGGAGATTAGAAAGCACATTCCTGGATGCGCCTGGTTGAGACACAGCAGTGTGACACTGGGGACTCTATCTGGTTCCGGCCCCCTCTCTTGGCTGTATTCCTGCTCCCTATTCTGGACACCATGAGGTGAGCACCTCTTCTCCACAATGCCCTTCTGCCATGACGTTTCTGTCTCAGAGCCAGACAACTGCAGACCAATTCCTTGAAAACTTTGAGCCAAAATAAATCCCCCTTCCTTATTTGTCAGTATCAGATATTTTACCCAACAGTGTGAAAACTGACCAATAAACTCCTAAGCAAAATGAAACAATTTGGGACTTGTTAAGCTAGAGATACATATCAACTACCCAGTGGTAAGAAGTGGTTGAGAAAAGAGTCTATGGACAGCTAGAGATACAGTTTTAATGGCCATACTTTATGAGTGGGAGTTAAAATATGAAAAGCAGGTGAGATTTCTAGGAAATAACCAATTCATGAGAAACATCAACATTTGAGGTGGGAAGAGGAAGATAAAACTTCAAGAATACTAAGATTCAGTCATAATTATAAGAGAAGAATGTTAAAATAAGTCTAAAGTTTTGAGAAAGAAAAGAATACCATTGTAGTCAAATTCCACAAATAAGATAAAGACTAAAAGGTATTTGTTAAATATGATAATGAGAGGGTCATTGGTGACCACAGAGGCAGAAAGAGCAGTTTTACTAGAGATATTTATAGGGGACTGAGGGCTGAATGGGAGGTGAGGACACGGAAACAGAAATAGCAGATAGCAAATTCCAAAACCTTTGTCTAACAGGAAAAATAACAGGGACCTGGTGTAGGCAAATTTAAAGTCAAAGCAAAAATCATACAATGTAGGATAGTGAATGGTTATGATTAGTAAAGTATTCAGGGATCTCTGGGGTGCTGGCCATGTTCTAATTCTTGATTTGGGCACTGGCTGCAAACTTACTTATTTATTCACTTTATAATTACATATTAAATTATACTATAGATTTAAGTACTTTCTGCATATATGCTATCTTTTCCAATAAAAATGAAATAGAGCTAAAGGAATTTTTGAATGGAAAGGACTTAAGGAGAGGGTATATGTGTACACACATTTATATAAACATTTTTTTTAAAGGCACATAGCATATTTAAATAAGATGAGGTGAAACTAACAGCTCACCAACCCTCTTGTTCTTTATTTCCTTTTGTCCTGGGTACCCCACAAAAAACTATGCTTCCCATTTACCCTTGCAGTTAAGTTGGGCTATGTGGTAGGTAGTTTTCAACATGGCTCCAAATGATCCTTGCCTACTGGTGTTCATGCCCTTCCCAACACCCCTTTCACTGGGATGATCTGGAACCAATGACTCACATTTAACAAATAGAATATGGAAAACATGATAAGTAATCACTTGCAAGATTAAGTTATACAAGACTGTGACTTCATTTTATCAACACTATGCACTTTAATGCTTTTTCACTTGCTCACCCTAATGAAGCAAGCTTCCATGTTATAAGCGGCCCTGTGTAGGAAAGAACACAGGGCCAATAGCAAGCAGAGGCCTGACTTTCTTAATCCAGAAGCTCAGGAGGAAAAGGCTCCTAACAACAATCATGTAAAGTTGATCCACATCTACTAGAGCCAAGATGAGGAACCTTTTACAGACCAAGTGCTAAACTGCAACTCAAAACCCACTTATTTATTACGAAGTCCCAATACCGCAATTAAACCTGAATACTGAGATTTTAGTTTAGAAAAAACAACTCATACATTAAAATCTTTTGTTTTAAAATAAAAACATAACAATATGCTTGCCATAGGTTTGCCATCACTATATTAGAGTGTTCAGATGATGGGCTACCTGGCAACACCGGGCTGCAGCCAAAGACCCAGTAATGCTGCCCCTGGACTCCTAAACACAGAAACTGTGAGATAATAAGTGTTTGCTGCCTTAATCTACTAAGTTGTTTGAAGTCACATGTCATGTAGCAATAGACAACTAATACATATTGATGTTACTAAACCAGGAGATTAGGGTGTGGCACACTGGCTGGTCAAGTGGGTGTGACCTGTCAGTCACAGAGGTCCAGGAGACATGCGCAAGAGCCCTACATCTGAGACCAACCAGAGAGTGTTACCTTCAGTTCTTCCCCTGAGAACTCGAGCAGGTTCTGACAGGAAGGCCTAGATCTGATATCAGACCACAGAGAGGAGGATCAGAGAGGAGGATCCAAACACAGCCACTACTGAGCTCTTGGCTACTATGCTCTCTTTCACAGTGGTAGGCTCTCAACCTGAAGAATGTACTTCTTTTCCTACTTTTAATGGGTCCCATGTTTCTTTTCGAAATGTAAAACCCCATTACCTTTGTCCTTGTTTTGTCCAATTACTTGTTCAGGACAAGAAAAACCTAAAAAAAAAAATCTCTAGGTGTCCTCAGAACCAAAGAACACAGTAACATATTTTGGTGAACCACACAGGAGGTAACATTAGGAAAATAACATAACACCAGTGCTATAACTGTTGAATTATGAACTGTGGAGCCAGATTTCCACCTTGAGTGAGTCACTTAACCATTCTATAGCGCAGTGTCTTTGCTGTAAAGTGGAAATGCCATAATAATACTTACCTCATAAGGTGGTTGGTAAAATGAGCTAAGTTAATACTTGTAAAGACTTGGAAAAATCTCCATCATATACTAAGTACTATAGTGTTTTTAAAGGAATAGAAATACATATGTTCCTCTCCCACTACTATCCCTTATGGCTGACTTTCAGTAAATCACTCGATTTGAAATGTAGAATAACTATATAAAGTATTATGTATTATTCTCCCTACTTTATAGGAGAGTTTGCTACTACAGGAATAGGTGATAAATTCTGGACTGGAGATTCAAATCCAAGTATATTTGAAGCTAAATTTCATGCTTTCTTTCTAAGTCGTATCTACATGTGCCTCTTAGGCACCTAACAGTCAGGGGACTATGGATAGACTTCTATTTGCAGTGGTGCCTCAGTTTAGGAAACTAATTTACCTTGTTTTTGTTTGTGTTTGTGTTTGTGTGAGGAAGATGGCTGTGGTCATGTCTGTCATTCAATGCAGAGTTTGCAAATGGAAGCCAAATTTTGCCAAATGGTTTTGTTTGCAAACAGAAGAGTTTATGAACTGAGGTATTACTGTACATATATGAATAGCAATGGTTATGTAGCTATATTCAGTTAAAGGGCATCTCAATGAAAATGAGATACTTACCTACTTCAATGCACTCATGTGAACTGTCCCTGAGAATGATGACAACATGCTAGGACTTGATTTATAAACATAGAAAATATTTAATATTCTTGAAGAACTAAATGCCTATATGTGTGAGATGGTCTACAAAAATTTATTGAGAAAAGCCCCATCAAACTAAAGAGAATACAAAAATTTATTCTGTTAAATTTTCATAAAAAATATCTGTCATAAATTACCTTCAGTTCTAAAGGCTTTTGACAGACCTCTCTCATTTTGGAGAAATTTATTACAAAAAAATTTAGCCAAGATTAGGGGCTACAAAGTTTGTTATATAGAAAGACATGTATGTAGTTTCAAATATCAAATACAACATCTAATCCTATTACAGTTGCTATAAAAAGATTTTCACTGGCAACACAACACTGGAGGAAATTGGATAATCTGTATTTTCTATCCTGAAGAGTACAGTGGCCTAGGAACTGCCTAGACAACTCTCATGTCTAATGAGACTACTGGCTTCATTTTACTGATGCTGCCCATTCTGTTGCTTTTTCACTTGCTCACTCTAAAGAAGCAAGCTTCCAAGTTATAAGCGGCCCTATGTAGGAAAGAACATAGGGCATCCTCTAGCCAGCAATCAGCAGCAAGCTGACATCCTCAATCTAACAGCTTAGGAGGAGCCACATATCAAAATATTGTAAAGGTTCACAAACCTGTGACAGTTCATATCTGCAGCAAAAAGAAATTTTTTTCAGGCTGGAGATTTAGCTCAGTGGTGCCATTGCCTGCCTAGCAAGCACAAGGACCCAAATTCGATCCTTAGTAACAGAAAAACAAAAAATAACAACAACAACAACAACAACAAAAAAAAGAAAGCAATTTTTTCATTTACACTCTATCACTAAAGAGTTTTTCAGTTTAGTTATAGTTATCATGTTGGGATATTTAAAAGTGGCCAATTCATTTTAAGATAATTTTATTGAATTCATAACTCTTGATTAGGACGCCATTGCATTGGCAAATGTGTATTCCTTAGTCCTTCTGGCTACCTTGTTAAAGTTACCCAGGATGGCCTAATCCTGGCAGGATTTGACAGGGTTTGTCAGATGACAGGGTAAACCTAATGCCAGCTCAGTTTGCAAAGGTGCTAACTGGCTCTTTTCAAGGTGATACCAAGAGTCTCCAATCTAGCTGGACTCAAGACCACAGTCTTATTAAGTTAGGGATGGCCTCAACTTATCTGTTCAGTCAGTCACCAAACAGTGCATAACTTCTATGTTCCAGACATGGCTCTAACACTAAAAGAAAAATCCCTGCCTCATGGAGTTGTATTTAGAAATGAGCTAAATAAATAAGTCATGCAATATAAAATGATTAACAGAACAAGTAAGGAGAGAAAGCCAAATGCAGGGAAAAAGATTATGAAGAATCAGTAGAAGGAGACTAAATTTTAGAACTTGATAGCTGACCAGTGAAAGATTCACTAAGATGGAAACATCTAAGCAAAGACATTCAGGAAATGAGAGGTAAGCATATGGATAGATTGGAGGGGCGGTGGGGGCAAAAGAAATGGCAGGTGCAAAGGACTTGGGGTAAAAGCTGACCTATAGGGCAGGAAGAATAACAAAGAATGCCAGTGTGATAACATGGAGAGGGAGAGATGCAGGAATGAGGCCAGTGATGAAGGGCAGAACGAGCTCATGCGCAGCTTTAGGAGTTAAACAGAGAGAAAAAAAACACAGGAGTCTTTCAAGACTTTAAACTGAGGAGAAATAGTTTAATGCTCTGATTTACATTTTAACTAGATCTCTCCAGCTACTGTGTTAAGAAAGGACTAAAGAGGACAAGAACTAAAAAAGTGAAGTTGCTTCACATCTTCACACTGAAGACGCTACTGCAGAATCCAAGCCACAGTGACGAGGGCTTGAACCTGGGTGGGAATGCTGAGAAGAGAGGAATCAATGACCACTTGTCAAAAGATAGCCACTGGGATTTGCTGGTTAAGCAAATAAGGGTGTGAGAAATAGAGGCGACTCCAGCGGATAGGCCCGAGTCCTGACACTGGCAAAGGAGAGCGTGCAGAGTAGGAGAATGCACGGTCAGTTTTGCATATGACGTTCTGACCTGTCTAGTTAGTTGTGCTGAGCAGAACTCAGGGTTGTATTCAAACATGTTTTTCTCCTTTCAAGCACTATAGAGGGTGTTTTTTCCTATCTCATTTGACTTGATTTGACCAAGTGAAAGGGGCACAGAAACGACTTCTGTCACTTCTGGTCAGAAGCTTTAAAAGCCAGGGTGAGATTAGTCCCAATCCTTGGCCTTCTGAGGTGACCAAAAGGGCCAAGACACCAGCACATCTGTTTTGCACACAAAACCTGAGGAAGAAAAACACATGCAGTGTGAAGCCTCTGGGATCTGAGGAGTGAGCCTGCCCCAGACTCACTTAACCAGAGGGAGACGGCATCACGTGGAGAGGTCAACAGGTTAGGTGGTGTGTTGTTCTGAAATAAGGAAGTGAAGAACTTGAGGACCATAAATACATAAACAGTTAAACAACAAGATGGGTAAAATTAGCAAGAAAACTAATTGTAGTGTGAAAGAGTCCTACAAAACTTCAAAATTTGGGTAAGTCTGGGATATGAGGAAAACCATGTCAATGGAAAAGAATAATAACAAACAAAGGAGGAGGAAGTCATTGGGGGAAGTATCTTGGTGGCCAGATAGGCTAACTGCATTAAATACTGGCACATCTGAATCCTAGGAGTTGTTCCACATGACCCAAAGTCACCCTTGGACTTTGTCCTGGACTAAGGCAAAAGGAGCCAACAGCCGTTTTCTGCCAGGTAACATATTTGGAGGCTGTTACATGTAATACCATATACGAGGAAGCTAAGTATATTTTTGTTTTCAACAGCATTTAATACAACATATTATGTTCTATGTCTTTCTCATTGTGTTTGTAATTTAGAATTACCAGGTTCACGAGTCACTCTGAATCAGAGAATACTTTCATCATTCTAAAACTTTGTAGCATTACTCTGACTTCCCTTTACTTTTATATATTCTATCAATCTCACTCTGACATTTTAAGAAATTACAGAAAAAGGTCCATTTTCCAAGCATGAATTATTCTCTCAGTACTTGATCTCAACTTCTTTGAACAGCTCGCTTTAATGCTTTTTATTTTATTGTTTATTAAACTGTTAATTTGTAATGAACATTGGAACTTCATAATGCCCTTAAGTTTTCTTTGTCTGTAGGAAGCAGAGGAAGGAGTAGAGCAATAGTATATTTCTGCTTTTTTGTCTGAAAATTCTAATGTTGCCTAGCAGTGGAAGTATTTTAAACACTAACAAGTATAGTACTAGCAAATACTAGAAAAAGTCTAGGCTATTTTCCTCAAAAGTATTCCATATCCTCAAATTCTGTACCGTAGAAAAATATTGTTCCATGACTGACAGTGTTCAATTACTGTGGCAGGAAATAGAGCATCATGCAAAATAATCATTCATCAATTTCCCACATTACATTTAAGTACTCTGATAGGCTTATTGTGAACAACTTGCTCATCACTGCACAAATATCTTCCCTCTCTGAGTGCACAGAATATATCTTATTAAGTAGTAGTTGAGCCACTCCATGTTGCAATGTTCATTCTTACAGGTACGCACTCGGTAAATACCCCTTGGATTAGGGATGGCTTGCTACATTGACATTTATAGGACTATCTAATCTAAATTTCTCCGTTTATTTTTTTTCCTCTTAGTAAGTCTTTAGCTTACTTTGGAGATATTCTTGAAGACTTCCATGTCTCATCAATTCTGTAATAATATAAATTGGATCTTCTAAAGTGCAAACAGCATAAAGCTGGATAAGCTTTGGATGTCGTAGGCTCTTCATTATCTGAGCCTCCCTCAGGAAGTCATTCGGATCCATTGAACCTGAAACAAGAAGAGGGGGAAATCACTTTGTGTTACTCCGGCATTGCTATCCTTTCAGCAGCCTGGTGGGAATCACAAGATTGCCTCCTGCCTCTCAGCAATGTAAGAGCATCAGTGTCACAAATCTTCAGTTATCAAAGAATAGAATCAGTTCAGCCAGGGCAGCCTAATTACCAGATGTGCTGTTGTATTAGGGCTGTGCAGTTTATGTGTTATGGCCTGAAGGTGAAGAGCAGTTTATTCAGGTCCATAAGAAAAATGAAGAGAAAAGGCACAACTGACAGTCTAGTTGATAAAATAAGGCAGGTATCTTAGGAACACAAAGAGAAGACAGTCTATTAGCATGTACACTGAAGGACATTGAATGTTTAATTACTCCAGCCAGTGCTGTTCCTTTGGATCCAGGGAAGACTAATATCCCTGTCCATGGTGCCCACTGTGGGAACAGCTGGAAAACAACCCTAAAATAATGACATTCTGCAACACTTGTGTCCTTAATCTGCAGAAACATAGAAAACAGGTCAAGCAGAAAATATTCAAGGGCCTTTCCCAAAAGTAAGGGTTTTCCTCTTATATCAGTTTTATATGTTTAACACGAAACTGATATTCAACATTTTCTTCTGCATTCTCAGCTTCAGCCATTGGAGCCTTAGAAGCTTAACCAAATGGTAAGGGAGACAGTGTCAGGGCCTATTTTGAGGACTACTTATAATTAAACTGTATCTAAATAGTTCAACTCTGATTTACCGTTCCAAGTCCCAGGCAGTTAACATCAAATAACACCTAAAACAGGGGGTTTACATTCATCAGTAATTTTTAAATCATTTATTTATTTTAGGATACGATGTTCCAGAAGCATTACTATGACTGAAGGAATACTGTCCTTGCACATCTTAGTATTCACTGAGCATGGTCCAAATATCATTTCCACTGATGCTCACACCGACCAGCCTATTCGCCATCCTCTCTGGTGGAAGACTTCACAGCTGACACCAAACCAAGGCATCAATGAGCTCCGACAGTCTAAGGCAGCACTGTGATTTATTTGTTAATGTAAACTTTAAAAGATAGGGTCAACAGATTACATCATTTAAAACACTAAAGTACTCTGCCGTTTGAGAGTCTAGAAGTTCAACACCTAGGACCAATCAAACTCTGGATTCTGGATCCAGCTCTATTAGCCCTTGTATGATTTGAGCAGTTACCAAAACTCTCTGAACTTCAATTTCTTCATCTGGAAAGTGTGACTAATAGCCCTATTGGCAACATAAAATCATTATCTGGATAAAAGCAATGCCTGGCACATATGTATTCAATGGCTGCTGGCTGTTATTTGCATTATTTTTAATATGCATACTTTTGGGAAACCAACAGCCCAACTGTATTTTTTCATTGACTGAGAAGAAGGGGCAAGGTCTTAAAGAGAGAGAAAAAAAACAGGCTATTCACTTTTCTACCAAGTTTTCCTGAGTTCCATCAATTCCAACTCTGCTATTGGTTTACTCTATGTAATCAAATAGGATTAAGATTTGGGATCATGATAGAAAAATGTAGCTGAGCATAAAGAGGCATTTAAAGCATAACAAAAGGACTTTGTTCTTGGTTGTTTGGTCTATGATCAAATATGGATATAGGATGACCTCTCCCCTTTCAAAGATGTGACTGATGAACTTCCAGTGACAGCAACAATTATGATCCCATCAGACAATTTATGCAGAATACTTAAATCATTCCCAAGTCACACTATCCACAGAAGCTGAAACAATGATCTGTCAGAGCCCCTGCAGGTGAAGGCTGTTCAGAGCACTCCTTTTGGCTCTACTAGTTGTAGTTGACTAACTGCAGAAGGAGACACACTAGTAATTCAACATCAAGTATTAATTTTTCCCTGTCAAAATTACTGTAGGAGTTGATTTCAGGCTCATCATTATTTCATGGTAGGCTGCTAAGCAAAATAGCTGCTAAGATTGATTAATGGCCCCAATGAAGTGAAGACATTTAACCAATCTGCAAAAATGTTTGCTGCTATTAAACTGTAAATCAATAATTATTGGAAAGAAAACTAGTGGGCTTTTTTTAGTGTAAGAAATATGATTTCTGTTCTTTTTCAATCTCTTTAAGGAAGAGATCTCCCTAGAGACCAATTGTTTGGAAGGATAGCTCTCTCCTTCTTTTTGGAAAAGAACTATTATGCTGGAGAAAAATTTAGTCTCAACTGTCAACCAGTTTAGGATTTAAAAGCAAATATACACATTGAGTGTGAAAATCTCAGGTGCTGACTATAGAGACTGTCCTCCCCTGGAATGCTCATATGGCATCGGACTTCATAAAAGTGTCTCTGGACTGTTTTATCTAGGGAGTTTGCACTTCAGTGGGTAAATCTGTTGGTAGCATTTATTAAGAAAGAACTCCTGCAGATACTTCATGCATATGGACTAGATCCATCCTCATAAACTCCTAAAGCAGGAAGCACTGTAATTCACATTTCCAGCTAAGGGGATTCAGAAACATTAATAAATGTTCAACGTCACAGAGGATAGGGCCACATTTGAATTCAGGTTTATTGTACACCTAATTCTATGTTCTTAACTTTTCCACCATGAGATTGCAACATTTCCAGTTCACGGCACAGTTTTTTTCATACCATATACCAAAACACATCCTTTTATTACTTGGTTAGATCCAAACCAGAATTTGTCTTTACAAGCCTTTGAAAAATTAGTATAGGTAAGTTTCATTCTTAACCACAATTACTTGCTAACATGATAAAAGCACCTACTGGGCACTGCACAACTTCTCAAGTCTTGGAATTAAACTGAGCATGGCCACCCTCATTTCCAAGTCCATGTTGATTTTGTGTGCATCTTGCAGTTGATCACAGCAGTCATCAAATGGCCAATTTCACAAAATTAGGATGTCACCAAAAGGAATGTGACATGGTCTAAAGCTAAAACTGCAAACTACTCCAAGGTAGCAATTTGTGTCATGTCCAAGATGTTGACCTCAAAATTTTTACATATCCCAGAATTCATTGTGGTGCCCCAGTGTGCCTTGGCATGTGGTTGGGGAACCATGATGTTACACATACTGCCAGCCAGCTTAAGTTCTGCCACTAGTGGAGTTTCCAAGAATTCTGGGCTCAGTAAATAATGGAGATCTGGTAGAGAAGTCTAGCGACCTAAGCTTATTATTCTCACCCATGTTATTGGAAGCAGATACAAAGCTGCCACAGTAATGTTACACTGTGACAGAATGTCAAGGGGTGTGACATGACAGTGATAGACACAGGTTAAAATCGCAGCAAGGACAGTTACTAAATTTTGAATGATAATAGTAACAACATTCTGTTTTAGTCACTTACTATGAATCAAACATTATGCAAAGCATTTCTACTAATTACTTAATTTATCTTCATAAACTCTGCTAGTTTGGCCTTATTAATATTTCCATTTTACAAATGATAAAACCAAAGCACAGGGTAGTTCAAAAATTTGCTCAAGGTTATATGAATAGTAAAACTTTGGAGAGTTACTTAATCTCTCTGAGTTCTCTTACTCCACATTTATCACAGAGGGAATCAACTGGGTGACTGAATGTCAATTTTAGTATATTTTTCCTTGCTACCACAGGGACAATGAAGGTGGAAAAAAATACTTTCTCTACTTTCAAATAAGATGCTTTTAATATGGACCATTTTACCCTTTCAGCATGTACAATTTAGTGTGTAAAATAGTTATGCCCTGAATATCATCAGGCAGCTATTTGAATTTTTTATGTACTTTTAGTATTTTTTTTAACCAAGGCCAGGAACAAAGGGGGCAAAAGGCATTAGAATACAGAAGCCTAAATTTAGAGAAGAAATGCAGCACTGGACTCTTGAAGGAGGAGATTTTATAGTTAACTGAACCAAAGCCCACCCTTGTTTGATATTTTAGAGCCTGTACACAGGTCATGGTCACCTGGGGTAGACAGAATGATGACACACATGCTGGCCGCAGGCAATGGCTGCCCTCCAATCTCCTGGGTGTCCACAGTGCAAAACTGTGCTCATAAAAGTCAGCATTTTCTGTTAACCTTCAATATTCTCCCACCTGGTTTTAATGTTTTCACAGCTACTGGAGTGGTGTTGTTCCACAGGCCTTCCCAGACTTCGCCAAACTGACCGGACCCCAATCGCTTCAGAAGCTGCACGGAACTCCGCTCTATCTCCCACTGGTCCACAGTTTTATAGGACAGATCGAAAGGAGTTGGGACCTGTATCTGTTTGACAGATTAACGAGAACACTTATAAAAAGAAAAAAAGATAGATTTAACATTTTTGCTGAAATGAAAACTCTAGGTATTATTTTCAGGAAATACTGCTTTTAAAAACAAAATACTATAAATTATAATTACTTTAAAATGGAAAACAATTGTGGGAGACTCTGTACTGCTGATGCATTAAGTTGATCCTCCACCAATCATTTGCCTAACGTCTGTCTGTCCCACACTGTACCCAAGGTCACCCTCATACAGGTCTGCAGTGACTTAGCCAAAGCATCAACTAGGTGTCATTAAGTGCACCAAAAGGTAAGGCCCCTTCCTTCCCAGAGCACCTTAGTCAGGTTTACCATCTGCCATACTATCTCTGTTACAACTACTAAACTCCCCTGTGGGGCCCAAAACCAGCCAAACACAATTAATAAATGAGTGAGTATATCACTTCCAGTAAAATTTATATTAAAAAATTGAATATGGGACCATACTGGCCCATGAGCCATTTGCCCATTTCTGCCCTACATCAAATGACAACTTTTTTCCTGAACTCAGATTACACGACAAATAAATATTAGAAAGGAAAAGTTAACTTCAAAATAAATGAACACAGTTTGGATACAGCTCACCTTTAAGCACGGTTTTTCTAGCCTGACACATAGGCCATCGCTTGCCGTGGTGTAATAGCTCACAAATTCATTCAAAGTAGAAAAGATTTTTCTCCGGGTAAGAAAAAAGCCCCCTTCATCCAGTCTTCTAATTCTATAGTGTTTCACAACTCCTTCATCTAAAACTGAAACCCAAATAAGTCCTGTTAATAAACTTATTTGCAAAGCCGAACAGATTTACTTACTTTGTGGTGATTTTATAATGCGTGGAGTGAAATTTTCACAAAATTCTCTCTCTCTCTCTCTCTCTCTCTCTCTCTCTCTCTCTCTCTATATATATATATATATATATATAAATTTTTTCTCAGAAAAGGCTTAAGGAAGTTTACAAAAGATACATAGGTTCAAACGACAAAGAAAAACAATTGGAATATCATACTGAAGGAAACGTAAGGTACCGACAAAGGAGTGAGGTTAGCACTAAAAACTTTCTGTGCTTGGAAGCTAGCTAGACTTGATTAAAACAAGATATCACACTGTCTCTGTCACTCTAGCAAGGCAACAAATGGCCCCTTATCCATTTCAGAAGTTACAGTGTCCAGGAAGTGAAATCCCAAAGGTATTTGGAAACAGCATGACTCTTCCTGATGTTTTTGCCCATGGCATCCTGTGACACAGAGGCTGAAGTAGAGTGGTGTCCTCAGTACTATCTTCCAATAGCAGCAGGCATTCCTCAGGGTCTCTCAGTACACTGCCCTTCACTGTGGCTTAATAACACAGCATCCTACCAAGTTCAACACAAGCAGGCCCATGGGCCTAAAATGCTGCAGTTCCCCTGTGCCACTTTCGTGCAGGATTGCTTAACCCAGAGGGGAGATCTTGCAGCATCATAAGGAATAAACAGACTGCAACCATTTTAGGTAGTCTGATTTATAGGGGATTCTTTGTTACTTTGGCCTGCCTCCAACAGTTGTCCCTTCTGTTAACAGGACTCCTGTTTTCCTCAGAAGGTCATTGCTCCTGGGTAAGCGCATGTGATGTACAGGGACCTGGTGCCCACCTGGACCTGAGCAAAGAATAAACAGGGCAATCATAGCCAGGAAGCCTGCAGAAAGCCCCAGAAAGACAGGAAGAGATTTGCTGCTCCTGTTGTTTTGTGTTTTGTTTTTGTTTCCATTTTTACTGCTGGGAGTTGGGAACTATTGGTCGAGTCCTTCTCCCCAGCTAGTACAAAGCTCACTTGAGAGGAGAGGCAGCCTAGTGCAAGTAGTCTTGATTTGAAAAGTAGAGTTTAGCGCCTGGCTTTCCAAATACAGGACTGGATTACTTTTAGCTTAAATTAGTTTGAATTGGGTTTTCAGCACTTGCATCTAAACTACTGATGAATACAGATTGTACTCTTCTTTCACTTAGCAAAGTTGTCAGTAAATACTGAACAGCATTTACTACAAATATAATGTTTTTGTCACTTTTCTGATGCTGAAAAACAATACCTGACACCCACAACTTAAAGGAGGACAGGTTTATTCTGGCTCAGTCTCAGAAACTTCAGTCCATGGTTGGCCGGCTCACACAGAACAGGCATGGTGGAAGGGCCTGCCAGGGAGGAAAGCTGCTCCAATCATCCACTGTGGCCAGGAAGCAGAGAGGGAAGGGAGGAGCCAGAGAAGAAGGTACAGCCCCAGTAAAACACCTCTCTGACCAAGCCCCACCTCCTAACAAAGCATTTACCTATGGATTCATCTGTGAGTTAATCCACATGAGACTTTTTAGAGACACTGCATATCTAACCATATAGCTAGTCTGAGTTTCCTCTAAATATAAAACCACCTGCTTCAATAACCAGTCAAGCTGGAGCAATGGGCTCATGAAAAGAAATAAGGCTGAGTAAAAGACATCCAGCCCCAGCAGGGAGGCAGACTGAAGGCATGCCAATAGCAAGGACAAGATATTTTTTAAAAACACCATTGGTGCATTCTAGATTAGCTACAGTGAAGGAAAAGACAATATCAAGTATTTTCAAGGAAGTAGAATAACTTATTCATAGTCTGTTGCAGTGTGCAACATGGTTACATAAAGGATGAAAGATTACTTGGAGATAAGACTTTAGATCAGTCATTCAGACAACCCAAAAGGGCTGGTATTTCAGCATAAGAGAACCTCAAGGAAACAGCAGCAAGCTGAGACCTCTGCAGTTATTTATCTGTAACTTAAGGACATGAGAACATAGATGAAAACCATTTGCAAGATATTGTATAGGAGTTTTCATCAAGGAACATGGCCATAATGGGATGGTTTGTTACATGACACATGTCGACCTAGTTTATGCAGTCTTATCAGGGCAGAGGGGACACAATGGCCAAAGCAAACACCTCTGAAAACAATCTCTTAATTCTGCTGATGGCTGTCCTGAAGATTTTGCTCTAAACCCTAACCATGCACTCCAGGACCTCTCAACTGTCTTCCCCAGAAAGTCCCTTCCTTTTTCACATTCACTTCAAATATTCCTGTCACCAGAATCACCCTACAATAGTCAATGAAAGTGCAATTTTTACAATGACTTTTGAAAATGGTTATTATCTACTAATGTTGAACACAGTCATACCTAATAAAGTATAATGTATACCATAATACCATAACTATAATGTACTATGATATATACTGTAACACTATATAGTAATGCCAGTTATAAAATAAAAATATGCTTAATATATTCACCAAAGCACATGTATAAGAAAGCTTTCAGTAGCATTACTTACAAGAGTTTAAATCTGTAAACAATCCAAATGTTCATCAACTAATACATAACAAATAAATTCTTCTATATTTATCCAGTAGAATACAATACTGATAAACAAACCACAGCTACACACAACATGAATGAATCTCACAAACACAAAAATATGGTTCCATATTAAGAATTTCTTTTTAAAAAAAGCAAAATCATTGATTTGAGGAGTAAGCCAATATCTGGGGTGTTGACAATATTCGATTTTATGATTGGATGTTGGTTGCATGGGTAGATTCACTCTGAAAATTCATCAAAAAATGATTACAAATTTTGCACCTTTGTTACGTATATCATGTATCAATTAAAAGATTAGTTTTAAAATGGTTATTTTCTCCTGTTTGTGAACTGCTACATTATGGCCTTGGCTAAAATATTTAAGTCTGGAAAGTTAAAGTAGATGCCACTTTGTGTGCAAAAATTTTCAGTAACGTACTCATAGAACATTAACTTTAAGCAAATAAATTTTCTAGTAAACATGGGAAACTCAATTACAAAATGCCCTAAATGCTTAGTTTGTGGTATAAGGATATTTGTTATAAGCCAGAAAAAAAAATGCAGAGGGAAAAAGTAAATACTATAAGAATACAATACTAAATTTGAGGGTAACCTTTCTACAACGTCTTCAACAATAATATAACAACACACAAATCCAACTAATAAATTATTCACATACTTTCATTTTCTTCCCAATGTTCTTTATATTTGTATTCAGTGAGGATCACACACTTTGGGTCCTAGATAGTACTAGCTCCAGCCAAGCTTTTCTGCTCACTCTTAGATATCAAACAGTTCTATTTTCACTTATAATCACAAACTCAGTCTCAATGCAAATCTAGCATGCCCAATTCCAAGATATTAACCAAAGTGCTTTAATCCTTGACAAAATTTCCATTTTTCTTCCCCTAGGTCTGCTTCAGGCTGAAAGGCAGCTGCAGCTTAGCCCTGGAAAAACTGTTATGTGTGGCTGTCCCTTTGTTTCTCTGCCTAGAGCTGCTCCCTGCCTTGCACCTTGCCTGCTCAGTTCTGAATAACCAGGTTAGGAGTTCTCTTTCTTTGGCAGCTCATCTACCACAGTCCCCTGTAGAGGTCTTTCTCATCCTCTAGCAGGAGACTATTAGGGTAGAAGCCAAAAACTCCTCCCAGCCCTCAATCTATGGTGTGCTGGTACATTTGGTCATGTAGGAAGCAGCTTACCTTCCTGAGGTAAATACCTCAGGCTTAAAAGGTGGGACAGACCTGGCCTTGATTATCATTCCTGGGAGGAGAGGCTGGTGGCCAGAACTTCTCTCTATCCCACCACCACAGCTTGTAGCACCTTTCTTAGCTGCCTGAGCTCCTGGGTTCTATCCTCCCAGATGCAGGGAGCAGCTACAAGTGGCCTTCCTGAATCCCCCTCCCACTTGGCTTGGGTTTCCACCCATCTCCCTGGGAAGGGGACTCATGATATACTCATGGCTGTCTCCCAAAGGAAATTGCCCTCACCGCCTCCTTCCTCTCATCTGTTTCCTATTCCCCTTTAAAAATCATTAACACTGAGGAAGCTGAGAGCTGCACTACCTTTGTGACCAATTCCTTGATAAATTCTGGGTGTGGGATTAGGTTTGAGATTTTGTTTCTATTTTTATTTGACCGCTTCAGTCACAAATTCTCTGTGAACATTAGTTATAATCACAGCAATAGAAACAGGCACTGTGCTAAATGCTACTTTACATTATCTTCTTCTGTCTTCCTACTCATACCAGGTAGGTATTATTGGACCCATTTTGTTACTCACAAAGTTGTAGTAACAAAGGTGGTGGAGTTTTCATCAAAAGGAGATGGCATAGCCAGGTTTCAAACTCAGGGCCTTGTGACTATAAGATTCTCTGTAAGCAGAGGCCTATTCTTGTTTTTGTTTATGAAGCACCAGGATTAAACCCATAACCTTCACATTGAGCTACATACCCAGCCCTGTATTTTGAGAAAGATTCTTGCTAAGTTGCTAAGCTGACCCGGCTGGTCTTGATCCTGCAATTCTCCTGCCTTGGCTTCCTGAGAATCTAGGATTACAGGCATGAGCCAGTGCCTCCAGCTACAAGTGGGTTTCAAATAGTATTTCCGGTTGTCTAAGACACCTCCAGTTCTGAACAATAAAATTATATCAAGCGCTTATGAGGAAATACTTTGCTGTCAGTTCTATTTACTAAAATAAAGATGGCAAGCATACATTTCACTCCTGCAAAAAGAGCATCAGTTTCTTAAATTACAGTTTTTAATTTCTGGAACACATCCTTATACACTGATCTTCAAGTTACCAGTCTCACTATCACTCTTGCGGCAAGGTTAATTGCCCTGTATAATCATCACCAAATAGAAGCCTTCCATTAGATATAGAGCTTAGCTCATAAAAGATTT